GTACCGCCTACGCGGAGGAAAAGGAAGAATTTTATCAAGAACTCGAACAGGCATTCATCCTAAAGTCGTCCACGCATTCCCTCATCATGAGAGACCGCAATAACAAAGTTAGACGAGGAGAGACCGGTGAAACTTTCGTCAGTACGTACGGCACCAGAGAGCGAAATGCACGAGGAGATCTCTGATACGCCGTAGCAAAAGCGAAACACTTGTACATTGGCAACACCTGCTTCTAAAAGAAGACAAACAGGAGTGAACAGAGATAAGTTCCACATCATCCGAGACATGGTAACAATGCCATCATCCGAGACACCTTCAATAACAATAAACTGACGTGGGCAAAGCTAACCTTCGAATAGACGATCGAGAGGAAGGAGATGCAATGACCTAAGGAACTTGATGAGATGGTGTGTACTCTCGAAGACTGCTTAATACCGCTGCGATGATGACTAAGAGAAGTTTACCGGTAAATTGAGGTATAGCATAGAGTCAACCGAGGTTGCAACACGAAAGAAAGTGAATTAAACGATCTCAACAAAGATTAAAAGCTTGCTAAAAAAGGAAGATCACGATGAAGAGAGGTGGGAACGATACGATGGAGCTCTTTCTTCTGCGCAAGCCTATTAGACGAAAGCTGAAGGAAAACTTCGAGACTTTTCAGTTGCTAACATTGGATAAAATGAGGTAAATACCACAGAAACCTCAGAAAATGGAGGAGAGAGGTAACGCTTAAATAATCGACCATCATGGCTTTGAAGAACGGGAATGGTACATTAACGTCTGAGAGGTCTGAGATGCGGTCCATCTGCAAGAACATTTACTTCAAGCTGTTTGCGTCCAAGACACTGGTCAGCAAACATCACTCCAACAGCCACAAAGAACTGCACTCCCGGTCCCCATAAATTTGGCATGCCGCACCGCAAATGAAGGAAAGATGAGCTGACCTTGAAACCTTGAAAGAGGTGGTCTGACAATTTAAATATAGCGGCAGAGCAGATGGTCAGACGCTGTGGAAGGCTCTAGAAAAGAGATGCAAGTGCTAGGTGAAAACGAGAAAGATACTATAAAGTTGGAACGAGCTAAAAGCAAGCATACTAATCGAGAAAGGGCAACAATGAGGATCTGAATAACTACGACGTAATCTGCTTGCTCCCATGAGTCTGCACGTTGTTTACTAAGATAATCAGCAGCAGACTGTAAACTGCTCGGGGTAAACACCAGCAGAAAGAACAGACAGGATTCGGAAGGGACTATGACGCAACCGATAACATCTTCACCTTAAATCAACTCCCGAAGAGTAAGGCGAGGGAATACCACCTCTATCTGTGTGCCACCTTCGTTGATTACTGGAAGGCGATCTGCAATATCGACAACAGCACAGAATGGACTGCATTAGTAGAATAGGGCATCCACACCCGTTGCATGAACCTGTTAAAAGAAATGACCTCTGGTTGCTTTACAAACGTCATGTTTTTCGGCACCCCTCTGAATTCCTGTTGAGGAGGGCATGAAACAAGGAAGAGATCCCATTTCCCCCCCC